TCTGCATCCTCACATTGTCAGGAAGGGCCCTTTAAGCTTGAAACGAGAACAGATTCTTTCAAACTTTCCCAGAGAATAGCAGTGACCTTGCAGATCAGATAACCCATGGTCTACAAGAGTTCAAATATGTCATCAGGACTTTATTTTACTGCTCAATGTTCCTTGGCCTACTTGTTCAAATCGGGCTAATTCCAACCTCCACCTCCCCCCCCCCCCCCTCAAAAAAAACCCCTACAGGAGCTCACAGTGCCAGCCGAGCAGAGCTGGGTGCATGCAGGAGCAAGGATAATTGAGGCCGTGTGTCAAAAGCTGGACTGTTGATGAGTGACTACAATCTGATGGATACAACGTATTAAACCTAATGAAGATACTTGTTCCCCTTTATTCATTCTCTCGCAGGCTGCAGCTCATGAAATCCGACATGGACTTCATGTTTCTACAGACATTAACTCCAGCGCTTCTCCGCTGACTCTGAGACTTCTTAACTGAGACTTCTCCTTCTGTTTTTATAAGAAGATAAATACTTCTTCATCTTGCTGGGGAAGCAACCAGCGTTGCTTCTGATTTGTTGTTGTACCCATAGCATTTGTCTCATGCAGCATGAGCCATCGCGAGGAAGAAAACCAGGAGAGGACCAATTCCTTCCAGCAACACCAACTCTCTAGATGAGTTTAGCCTTGACTTCAAACTGTACCCATCGGCTCCAGCTCAGCAACATGTATTTTATTTTTGAGCACATGAGTAGTTCTGGCCTGCTTATATGTTTTGCATATGTTTCAATCTTTTATTGAATGAGCTTCTAAATCATTTGAAATCCAGCTCCATTTCCATCACTGAAAACCATTGTATTACATCACTGAATTGCTCCAGAAGTAGAAAAAAATATTCTTGGTATTTCTTGAGACAGTTTTCCCGTTGTTATGCTGCTGTTTTGCTGGGATTCAGCTTGAGTAAACGGTTCCAGCCCCAGTCTGAATTCAAAGCCAAAGCTGGGATTTGATGAAATGCTTGGGTGCTGGACTAAACATACTGTAACTATATACGGATTTTGGAGAGGAGAGATAAGGTGAGGGCTTCCACACAAAAATGTAGCCATTCCCCTTTTCCAGATCCTCCCCTTGCCAGTGCAGTATTCTGGGAAATTGCCCGTGTGTTTCAAGGCCTGCTGCAATCAGCATTCGTGTTATGGCACAAGGCACACAGCAGAAGCTTGTGCATGGCTAACTCGGTATTTCGGGTTGGAACTACATATTTTTTTTGTGTTTGTTTCCCTTCAAGCATCTGAAGTCTTGCTTTTGAATGTCCTACCACTTCCCAGAGACAATATGTCAGAGGACGCCGACCTCCCTGCATCCATCCATGCGTTTTCATAGCCCAATGTGACTTTCACTAGGGGATCCCAGGGTTATAGCCTCTCAGATTTCAGCAGTGTGCCTGTTATCATCGGGTGGATGGAGGCAAGATGTGCTGGCAGAGCCTTAGCCTTTCCTGAGAGACTGGGGACCCTACAGCACAGAGAACAGCAGACTGCTTAGCAGTTCTTCCTAGGCCAAGACAATGCTAGTACTACAGAGAACCTTATTCTTTGTAAACAAAGCATCTCTGATTTAGTTATCAAAACAGGCATTCATGTTTTATTCAGGTTTTTTGCTTTAATCCATCTGAAATGTAATACCTGTTAACAAAGATGTTAACACATCTTTGCCTATTCTTTTCCCCCCCAAGAAGCTCCCACAGTTCAAGGTTGTAAGTCTGAGCAATTTAGTAAGTAATGTAAATACAAATGAAAATTAGCCAACAAAAGAAATTCAATTGAGTTAAATAGGAGGCTATTATCATACCTCACATTCCCTGCTGCCCTAGCACAGGTAAGAACCAACCGCAGGGGATTGAACAGCTATCTATCTGCTCACACAGCGCACTCTCCCAGGCTATAAAGGGTACACAAAGATGGAACTCTAAAATGATGCATCTCCATATAGCTACGCTATTCTGTGCCCATTTTTAATCAAACTGAGCTGCACTGTGAACAGATAAAAACACAGCAGCTACCACGAGCAGATCAAATTGATCACACGCATTTCTCAAGTCTCCACGAGGACTGTAATCTCATCTTTCAGGGTTTTTAGTTCTTCACTTCCTTTGCTGGTTTATGACATTCGGAGGCAGGTTCCCCCGGCCTTGTCACTGCGCCGTTATTTGGATTCCTCAGCCATTTAGCGTGGCTGCTGCACATTCCTAAGAGCAGCACCTCAGATCCGCTCCACGCTCGTTTGGCACCCACAGATAAGCGTGCATGCATACATACAAGGCAAAAAGCAGCAGAAAAAGAAGCAGTTTATTCGATTGTAGTCATTAATGCTATACATGACAGGTTCAATCCTGCTCCCTTTGATGTCGATGGCAACACCTGCATCGAATTCACGTGCTCTTGAAAAGAAAAAAAAAAAGCCTGAGTTTTGCAAATGTATCCTTTTGTCATCTACGCTTGAAGTCAGAACGAAAACGCGGCGTTTTCGCCTTGGTTCTGAGCCAAATGATGCACACCAGACCTTCCCACAGCGCTACGCCCGCTGCTCCCCAAGGAGGAGCCCGACAGACGTGAGCCCACCGCCGTGCGTCCCTCCGGCCCTCGTGTCACTCCGCCACTCCCGTTCGGCAGCCGAGCTTCCCGAAGCGGGCCTGCTGGCGTCAGCGGGGAGGGCTGGGCCGCACCGGCAGGTCGCGGGGTGCCGGCGGGCCGCGGATGCCGAAGGCCGCTCCCCGCGCCTAAGCCGAGCGCGCGGCTCCACGCGGGCGCACAGCGACGCCCGGAGCCGAGACGCAGGGCCGGGTGCGGAGCCCGCAGCCGTCTGCTTTTCTGGGGCCGCTCCCGGCACGCGGCTCCCGGCCGGAGGAGCGACCGCCCGCCACGCCATGCCACCGAGCCGCCTCGTGACACGCGGCCGTGCCGTGCGCGACCACGCGGCCCAGCGGCACGCGAGGAATGCGCGCTCCCGCGGCGGGGCCGGGCCCCGCTTCCCTTTGTCAGCGGGGGCGGCGAGCGCGGTCCGGGTGACGTCATGAGAAAGTGCCGGCTCCGAGCGGCGGTCCCGGCCGCGGGCGCCGCGGGGCGGACGGGCAGGAAGCGGATCGCAGCCCCTCAGCAGCGGGGCGCGGCGCGGCTCTGCGCGGAGCCGCGACCGTTAGGGCGGTCGCGGGCCGCTGGCCGCCTGCGGCTCCGTCCGCGCGGAGCCGCGACCGTTAGGGCGGTCGCGGGCCGCTGGCCGCCTGCGGCTCCGTCCGCGCACCGCCGCACTGGGGCGGCGGGCAGGTAGCGGCGGGGCGGGCCCGGCCCGGGCAGATGCGCGGCGGGGGCGGAGCCGAGCCGTCGGCCGCCCGGAGAGGGGATCGGAGCCCCGCGGCGCTCGCCCTTTCGACCAGTCCCCTTTGTGTCGGCGGGACCGGGCGGCGAGATCTGCCCGGCCCGCCCGGTAACAGCCCGGCGCCGCCATTGGCTCATGCTAATGGGCGCTTCCTGCGGCCGCGCCGCCCCGAGCCGGGGGCTCCCCCGGCCCCCGCGCCAGCGCCGCTCCCCGCCGGCGGCACCGCCCGCCCCGAGCCCGGCGCCCCGCTGGGCGCCGCGGGAACCTGGAGCGGGAGGGGGCGGGCGGCGCTGAAGCGGCCCTACTGAGCGCACGTGGGGAGAGCCGCTGCCCGGGCCGGACGGAGCGGGGCGACCCGCGGCCTCGCTTGGTTCGGAGCGGCGCGGGGCTGCGGGAACGCTCCTTCGGCGGCTTCCCGGCGGGTGCGCGGCAGGCAGGCCGAGCTCCGCTTTATAAACGTCACCGCTCCCCGGCCCACGTGGGCTGTGAAAGCGGGAGCACGTGTCCCGCGTGTGGCCCGACGGAAGGGCGCGGGGCGCCTTCGCGCACTGACGCCCTGCGGCCCGGCCCCGCCGCATGCAGCCCTCAGCGCCGATGGCGGCCCTCGGCCGGGGCGAGACGGAGGCGAGCGGTCAGCACGGCGCTGCCGGGGCGTGAGGGCAGCGGCCGGGCGACGTGGGCATGCAGATGCACGCCGGCGTGCCCCACGGCTCTGCCGCACGGATCCCGCGTGGCCCTGCTGCGTGCCCTCGACGGCCACGAGGCCGTCCATAAAAGCCTGGGCCCCAACTGGGCTTATGGCTCGGGCCTCCCGGGCCGCACCTCCTGCCGGCCTTCGCTGCGGCAGTCTCCCGCGGGCCGCAGGCTTCGTCCCGGTCCGGAGATGCTCAGAGGAAGCTTTCCGTTGGGGACGGAGCGGGGCGCTTCCAGGTAGGCGCAGCCCCACGCGGACGGGCCGGCACCCACGTGGGCCTGTCGTGGGCCCGGCCACCATTTTGTGCTCGGCGGAGCTGTGTCTGCTGGCGGCTCTGCACACGGGGCGCTGTGTACGGGCTGCTCCCGTTCGCTGCCCCGCGCCCCTTGGAGGGAGATGTGCCGGGAAAGGAAGGAGAAGCAGAACGGGGGAGACCCCGACGCCTTTACGGTCGTGGCCTGCAGCGAAGTCGGCGGGGCTGGAAAAAAGAAAAAAAATAGGAAGGAGGAAATGGGAGAGCGCTGTCCCCTGGGGATCCGCTCCGAGGCCTCGTGCCCGGCTCGGAGCGCGGCCCGCAGGTAGAGCCGGGCACAGCGCGTGGTGCCGTGCTCCCCTCCCCGCGCCCCCCGTAAAACAAGGCCGAGCGCTCCCCTGCGCCTACAGCCCGTGCCTGTGTGTGGCCCGGCCCCATTCATCGCTCGGCTCCCACCGCACGACTCTCTCCATTTTTAAAATTATGCACGAAGCACCGAGGAGACAATTTGGGTTTCCCCCACCTCTCCCCTGCCCTTGAAGAAAGCGAGCCTCGTCTCATTTGCATCTGCATGAAACCCCTGCGCTCTATAAGCCGAGCAAAGGGGAAGGACTTGAAGCCTATGGGATGGCTTTAGGGCTCTGCCCCTCGCTTTTGGCTCTCTCTCTCTCTCTTTCTCATTCTCTCTCGTGCTTTGATCTCTGCTTAACAACAGTAACGTCACAGGGACTATACAGGAGAGTTTTGTTGGAAGTTAGAAAGTTTTTCAGCCTCCAGAGGGCTGTAGCGGCAGTAGCAGCAGCAGCATCCAAGGGACTCCTGGAAGGGGAAGAGAGAGAGCGAGCGAGAGACTGACTCAGTCCTTGAGGAACTGACTCGAGACGAAGGAGGCAGACATGGAACATCAGCTGCTGTGCTGCGAGGTGGAGACCATCCGACGAGCCTACCTGGACGCCAACCTGCTTAATGACAGGGTGCTGCAGACCATGCTGAAGGCGGAGGAGACCTGCTCGCCCTCGGTGTCCTACTTCAAGTGCGTGCAGAAGGAAATCTTGCCATATATGAGGAAAATAGTCGCCACTTGGATGCTGGAGGTGTGTATGTCGCGGGGCTCCCTCCGCGCCGGCTCTGCCCTCGCCCCCCTCCCGCACGGGGCTCTACTGCGGCACGCGGTGCGGCGGCCGCGGGACAGCGCGGACGGACGGACGGACGGCGCGGCGGCCCCACGCCCGGCGGCGGCACCTCCGGCGGCTGCGGGCGGCGCGGGGCCGGGGTACGGCAGTGCCACCCGTCGGGCCGCCGTCCTCGAGCCAGGTGCGCCGGGCACGGCCGGACCGCCGCCGCCCCGCCGCCGCCCGCCCCGGGCCCCGCAGCCCCCGGGCGCGGGGCCGTCGGGAGAGGCTGCCGGTTATTTTTCGGGGATTTTATTTTAAATTAATATCCTTGTACACGTATGCAAGCGCTGCCCGTGCCAGTATTACGCGCCATCTTTGTTCTTTTATTGCAAAGCAAAAGCGTTTATTAATCGGGAGAAAATTAGAAAGTCCCGGGGAGCGCGCCAAGGGGGGGGGGTGCGGCGGGGCCGGGGCCGGGGGGGGCCGGGGACCCCGCTGGGGCGGCGGGCAGGGCACGGCCGGGGGGCTCCGCGTTGCCGGGGGGAGCCGCGGGGTGAAAGTTTCTTTGTTCGGCTCGAAGAGAGCTCGGGCTGCGGTCACCCCTCAAAGGCGCGCTTGTGCCGGGCGGCGATCTGCAAGGTCGCCTGGGAAAAGCGGGTCGGAAAGGGCCTCGGGCCGCGCGGGACGCGTTTGGGGGGGCCCCCGGCGGGCGCCCCGGGAGCCGGGCTACGTTTTCGTGCCGTTTCCGAAGCGCCGGGCGCTCACGATCTATTTTTAATTAATTTTTGAAAGCGCGGCGCCGTGCCTCGCTCTGGGAAACGTCGCGCCCGGCCGCGCCGCGGGCGGGAGAGGGACGCGGGGAATTCCACTTCGGGGCGCCTCCCCGGGACCCCCCCGGCGGACCCCGGCCACGGGGCTCGGTAAAGGACCCCCGCCGCTTCGTTTTCAGCGTTTTTCCGGAGCCCGGCGGATTTTTTAAATATTTTTAAATATTTTTTGAAAAGATGACGTCTGGGGAAATGCGGCTGGACGCCACCTTTGTGTCTCGAGCGGAGCGGGGATCGCGGCACCGCAGCGAACGGGGGGCAGTGCGAAGGCGGAACGGCCGAGCCCCGGGGCAGCCCGGCCCCCCCCTCTTCCTCCCGCTGCCCCCGCGTTTTCCTGCGATTTCCCATTTCTATGCTTTTTTCGTCGTTCGTTTTGGGGGCCGCCGCGGCGGGGACGACGAGCTCCTCCGCGCCGACCCCCCTTCCTCCCACGAATCGTTCGAACGCCGCGTTTCCCCCGCTTGGCCCCCGTGACTTTCATTTTCCTTCGCACCTCCGTTCTCCCCCCGTTTCCCGGCCGCGTTTCTCTCTCCCCCCGCAACCTCGCCCCGCACGGCCCGGGTGGGGGAGGGACGGGCCGCTCTGCGCCGATGCCGAATTTGTTGTTAAACGATCTCCGTCCTTCCCGCAGGTCTGCGAGGAGCAGAAGTGCGAAGAGGAAGTTTTCCCCTTGGCGATGAATTATTTGGACAGATTTTTGTCGTTCGAACCCCTCAAGAAAAGCCGGTTGCAATTGCTCGGAGCTACCTGCATGTTTGTGGCTTCCAAAATGAAGGAAACGATTCCTCTGACCGCGGAAAAACTGTGCATTTATACCGACAACTCCATCAGACCCGACGAGTTACTGGTAATTGCATATTTAATCACCTCAGGCCAAAAAAAAAAAAAAAAAAAAAAAAGGAAAAAAAAAAAAAAAAGAGAGAATCGGCCCCCCCCCGCCAAGCACGCTGATGGGGAAGCCCCTTCTCGGGGCCTGGCAGGGCCGCATCCTCCCGCCTGCACACCGCCCCGTCTCCGCGGGGCTGCGGACCGGCGGCGGATCCCCGCGCCCCCCGCCCCCCGCCGAGGCTTCCCCGCTCGGAGCCGGCGCGGCGAGGCGCGACTTGGGCGCCCCCTGGCGGCCGTTTGGGGTGCGGCTCTTCCCCGGGGTTGCGGCGGGCGCCCGGTCCGGCCCCGGGCGCGCCGACCCTCGCGGGAGGGCTCTGCAGGGCCGGGCGTGGGTAGCGGGGTGCGGGTGCTGCGCGGCCCCGAGTGCACAACCGGGGCTAACCGCGCTTTCCCTTCGTTTCTTCCTCTTCTTCCCCCTTCCTCCCTTTTGTCTTTGCAGCAAATGGAGCTGCTGCTGGTGAATAAGCTGAAATGGAATCTGGCTGCAATGACCCCCCACGATTTCATTGAACATTTCCTCACTAAAATGCCTCTGGCAGAGGACACCAAACAGATCATCCGTAAACATGCTCAGACTTTTGTGGCTCTGTGCGCTACAGGTATGAGCCCTGCACGCTCCGCAAAGCGCGTCGCTCCCCTGCGCACAGCTGGCCCTGGCTCTTGGCTATGGCTAACGTGGGCTCTCGGGGCTGTGGGGAGGGAGCTTAAGCCCTGGTTATTGCCCTTGTTGTTTGTAGAAGGTGGATTACTCCGCACAGGTAAGCGTTTTCAGAAGATACTTCTGAGTTGAATGCGTTGGCCGGGGGAGAAGCACCGCTCTTCTCTGTGCAGCAGCACGGGGCGCACGCTGCAGGGCACAATCCCATCGCCTCCACGCACTGAGTTTTATCAGTGCTGGGGCAGCAAGAGGCTCGCTGCTCACACGGGGAAATCCTGCCTGCGGATCAGTCCTAAGACAACTTTATAGGCAGAGGGAACAGCTCTGTGTGGGGGTTTGGAAACTTCCCTCCCGAGCCGCCTCTTCCCCTCTGGCGGCAGTGGCAGGAGCCACGCGGTGCGGAGGCTTTGCTGGCGCGGGCCCGGCGCTGCCATCTGCGCCCCGGCCACGTGCTGCGCCGCAGCCATGTGCAGAGCCATGTGCAGGGCCCCGTGCAGGCGCTCGCCAGGCTGGGTCCGCAGGGCCCCGATCGTTGGTTTCAAGGGCACCGTGCCTGTGCGCGCCGCGGCTTTGAAGTTCCGTGTTTGCATGCGGAGTGTGTGTGTGCGTTTGTGCGTGCGCCGGCTTCACCCGCTGAACCCTGGCAGAGCGGGAAGGAAAAGCTGTCCTCCAGATCTTGCGGTTCCCACAGACCGGAGCGGAGGAGCAGGACAAAAGAAGTCCTGGAGGGAACATAGATCCTCTGCTCAAATGCGGCGCGTTCGGTGCCTTGGCTGTCAGTATGACGAGACAAATCCACGAATGGCAAAGGAATAAGGAAGAAAAAGCAGCCAAAGCAAATGTTCTTTTGCAGTAGCACGTAAAGAGGAATGCCAGATGCTGTTAGCACCGATAAAACGTAGTGCAAAGGAGATACTGTGCTGCATTAAACGCTAATATTTGTTAGTGGCCGTGCTGGAAGATATCAAGCCTGCAGTGGCACCTGGGAAACCTTGGTGGGATGTGTGGTCAGCCCAGTTAGGGGAGCTCGTTTTCCAGATACGGACTTGGCAAAAAGATTCAAGAGACATCTGCAGGTACTCGGAAGAAAACACGGGTTACACAGAGCCTACTGATAGAGGCCCAGAGACAGAACCGAGCCCTCATGGGACGTCTATAAGCACTGGCATCACCCGGCGTGGTGGGGCGGCTCTCACTGCAGAAGCACTGTTCCAGGATTGGGGCGTGCAGCCCCCCAGCAGCATTCACGCCACCTGCAGAAGCACCATGGGAAAATCAGACATGCTCTCCATGGCAGATCCCACCAGGTAAAGCTGCTGGGACTCTGAACTTGTAACTTGCTGATTTTGATGCTACCTCAGCCTCCCCTTGGATATGGGGACAGTTAACCTAGGTTGTTGTGTTGGCAATGACAGGGATGAAAACAAGAGTAGTCCAAAGGTTGGAGACTCGCTAAGGGTCCAGTACTTTGATCTACTGTTGGTGTTGTTATATTTCCTTCTAGGAAGCACATCTAGAGGCTTTATTTAACGCTGGTACAAACCACAGCTGGAGAATGCATCAGTAAATGAGAGCCATGTTCTGGGAGTTCTACTTAGCTTTTGAAAAACAGAGCTGAGCTCACCGGAACTGGGGCCTTCTTTGGCTCCCTACTCAAGTTGGGAATATTTCCTGGGGAAAATGCACACAGAAGGGCTGTCGCTGGGCTCTGTATTTTTATTGTTATTTTTGGATGTTGGGATTTTCTCTACCTCTTGCTTTCCCCACAACTTCTTTGTTGGCTAGTGAATATAACATGTGGCTTAAGTAGCATCTGGACTTTGCTTTGCAGTTGTATTTCCCCCTGCCAAAATGAACCTAGATGGACTGCAAATGCCTTGTGTTGCCTGGATGCTGTGCTGTGGGGCCCAATCCAAAGTCCATTAGAAACGCTGTGAAACTCGCTGAAGTGGCCTCGGGGGTGAGCTCAGTATGTCCTCTGCTTGAAGTGCACAGCCCGTGTCCCTCCTGAAGGAGGGGCTCCTGAGAGGAGGCAGCAAAATAATGCTGGCCTAAAAAGTAAGATCTCTGCCAGTTGGCTTAGCAAGGTGAATGCTGTGGAAGTGTTTGTGGATGAGTGTGCATGCGTGCTTGCTCCAGAACGAGAAGGTTACGTCGCAAGGTGAAGTGGAGGGGAATTCCTTCTGAGCTCTCTCTTCGCTTGCCTGGCTGGTAGAAGTGGATTTGTTTGATTTGGTTCAGTTTCGAGAAATCCATTTTCACCAAAGGATGTCTTTGTGCTGTGGTAGGTTTGGGAGAAAAAGAGAAAAAAAAATTTACCAGGGGTTGTTTGAAGTTAACACATAATTGAGCTTAATGAATGGGGCTTTGGCATGGCCGAACAAGGCAGGGATAGCTCAAAAGGAAGCAGGCCTCTTTTGGCCCAAGTTAAGACCAGCGTTGAGGGAGAACTGCGGCTCTATACAAGCATAACAATGAATAGCAACAAATATTGGAGCTTCAGCATTTCATTATGTTCCTCTGGTTATCAAAACATACCGGGCTCCTTTTATATTATTATTATCGCCATTATTATTGTTGTTGCTTTCCTTCTCTCGAATGGAGAAAGAAAGATCTCGCTTTGAAACAACCGGGTTACAATTCTCCTATTCTCTGGCCTTTATAAAATTGGGAGTCTCAAGGTATGTGACCAGTTGGAACCTGTTGCATCTTGCAGCAAGTGATTTATGTTCACAGTTTTGATTTGCCTCAATGAAAAGATTTTCATTCATAGCCCCCAGCTCTCCAGACGGATGGAACTGCTGCTCCATTTAAAAAGGAAAAGGGGTGACTCGCCTTGTTAGGAATTTTTTTTAAAGCGCTGCAGCGCCTATATGCCTGCTTTGTCCTCCCTTCAGGGTGGCTGGCATTCTTCTCTCTCCTCCCCCTCCCCTCTCTCTCTCTCTCTCTTTTTAACAACGCTGAAGTTGTTTATTCTTTTTGGATGAAGTCTCAGATAGGCTACTGGGGATGTGTGCTTCAATTGATGGGGCCCCCTACCCCATTGTGGCTGTGTCAGGTCTAATTCATCTCACCGAAGCCCCCTTGTTCCTGAGCGCTCAATAGCGCAAGATGAGGCGATGGAGGCTGACAATGATGCCACACTCTTCACTTGGGGGCATCCAATTACAGGCGAGAGGGGCCCCCTGATTAATATGCTGAAATTAGTGGCCTCTGCCACAAATAATTCCTTGTTGAGTTGCAACAAAAAGGCAGTCCATGCTGCTTGTCTGGAGTGGTTATAGGGACAGACACAAACTGGTCATTTAAACTTCATTATCACTTTTCCACCTTGGAAAGAATGAGGGTGTGACTATGAATTCATGTTCTTGTTTACTGCTCCATTTAAAAGAAGAACGCAAATATTAATCCCAAACATGATCTTGTCAGGACAGACTTCATTAAACTGACACATTTTGGCCACGTCCTGTGCGTGGAAAGCAGTCAGTACTGGCGTGAAGTCACTGCCGCCGTATCCCGCTGGAAACCAAATCGTGGTGAGATTCACGTTTGCCTGCTGGAGGCCCTTGCTTCTGGAGCCCACCTGCCACCGCCTTTCAGTGTTTCAGCTGGGAGACCATCTGTGGAAGGCGCATGTTGTCAATAACCAACCGTAACTATCTTGATTTGGGGGAATGACAGGAGCTTGATCCAAGGTGTGTGTACTTAGCGTCTGTCCTGAAATGGGCGGGTTAGGAAAAGGGGGCAAATTACATTTGCTTTGAACGCGGTGGCGCGCAGGGAGATGGCTTTAGACCAAGGTTGGCTTTTTTGCTGGCAGCGCATCACAAAAGCTGGGCCACAATTAACCGTATCCGTTCTAACGTGAAGGTTCGTGGAGCGCGGGGCGAAATGCCCTTGTGAAGGTGGGTACTGGTCTGGGCTACAACAAAGTGTAAGAGATACGTGAACAGATTCAGAGAGGGGACTTCCACAGAGTGGTGGAGACTTTAGTTGCACTGGTAAAACACTGTCACAAAAGTTATTTTACCATAATAAAGGAGGTGGATGGTTTAATACTTACACTGTTCCACTGAGCTCTCTAAGCTGTCCATTCCTTTGATTTCATTCAGGGGTTTGACAGATGGTTTATATTTTTTCAGCCCAGAGGAAGTTGTGTTCTGATAAAAGCTGAAGGAATGTATCTCAGGTTCTCGCGTATAATGTGGCATTTCCCTTTCTTCCTCACAAAATCAGATGTTTGTTTTGCGCCGCTTTTTCCTTTTCTTTTCGATTCCCCTCCAAGGTGTACGCTGCCACACATCAAACGCATTCCTGTTCAGCGGAAAGAGTCTTAGCATTAAAACGTGGATTATTCTTATTAAAAAACGCACCCAAACCGTGCTAAATGGCAGAGATAGCCCCTTAAGGAATCATGGGAGTGGCTTTGTGGAGAGACCTACAGCACTGCAGTCTGGAAGGGGGCCCAGCCTCTTGTCAGCATGGTGTCACATCAGAATGTAACTGATTGTCCGCCAATTCTTGGGACCCCCGTCACTTAGTTATGCCACATTTACATTAAATCCCTGTTGCCGGGATGGATGGCAGCCACTGACAAGAGACTAGGTCGAGACAAAGCATTTTTAAGATGAAACCTTAATTTAAATATGGATTATCTGCCTCCTGACAGGGCTAAGCGGTCTCTCTCTTCCTTTCTTTTTACTGATGTCGCTGTTCATTAAAGCCATATTCCTTTGAATGTCAGTGCTTGAGACGGCCCCGGGACTCCGCTCGGAGCACACCTAGGGCTTGGTGGTGCACAATACTGGGGAATGGGAGCGGGTTTCCCCTGCGGTGCTGCACCATTACAAGCAAAGTGCCGGGACACTGAGGTCCGCAGGTGATGGTGGGCCACCAGGCGTCGTGCACAGCGGGCTGCCTGCCCGGACCAGTGCTGGCAGGTCGGGGCCTGTGGCAGCTCGGAGCGGGAAGCACCGGCGTTTGGGTGCAGCAGCTGGCAGCTGAAAGCCATGCTGGGAGAAGAGAGCGTATGCGTATGGGCAGGCTTCTACAGCAATCATTTCAGTCTTTTTTTTTCTTTTTTTTTTCCCCTCTTCTTTCTTCATACAGATGTTAAATTTATTTCAAACCCACCTTCCATGATCGCAGCTGGCAGTGTGGTAGCAGCTGTGCAAGGCCTGCATCTGGGGAACACTAACACTTTCCTCTCCTATCAATGCCTCACACATTTCCTATCACAAGTTATCAAATGTGATCCGGTAAGTGACTCTTCTCAGTTGATCCTTCTGCCTTAGAGTTTAAGAACGAATGCCTGCTTGCTGCGCAGTCGCTAATCTGGCAGTAAATCTCGATAAAGGTCAAACCTCAGAGTGCATTTCCTGAAGATGCTCGCTGGTGTTAATCCCCGTTCTGTGCTGTCGTTACGGCCATTAATAACCGGCAGTTACAGTGCTGCAGTTTGCTGATAGGAACGCCACGTCCAGCTCTGGTGTTCTTGAGAGGCGTATCTGACAGCGCAGAGGAAACCCTGAGCCCATTTGGGACGATTGCAAAAGCCGTATTTGCTTGTAGGTAATTAAACAGCAGTCTGTGCAAACGAAAACTATTAAAGTAAAGACGAGGAAATACTTACTGGGATTGCAATAAATGGACCTCGTGGTATCTCTGACCTTATCTTTGACCATTCTTGAGGCCTTTTATTGTGCCAAGCGGTGTGAAAAAGCCCTTCTTAAAAGAGTTCTAATGATCTAATTTGGTTTATTACGTGCTAGACCTGCACAGTAGCTGGTATTGAATTCCTTTTTGGAACAAATGCTTGTCCCACGACTTTCTGACAAGGTAGATGGTCCTCACAGGACTCTCATTTTGCCCTGCAGCTTCCAGGAGATGCACATCAGTAACTAGCGAGCAATAAACCTTTCATGAGTGAATGGGCCAGGAAGGGAGCCTACAAGGAAGACCTAAAGTCAATGATCCATGTCATAATGGTGTGTGAAGTTGGGGCAGAGTTGAGCTTTGTTTTGCAACAATGTGGAAGACCAATAAATAGATGCTTTTAAAAGGTTCCTGTGAGGTCTCCCAGTGCTGGACAATGAGACAAATAAAGACAACTCTGTGGTTAGGGCAGAATCTTTGAGATGTTGTTATATAATTTTACACTTTAATAATTTAAATCCGTAGAGAATTTTATCAGTCCAGGTCCATCCGAACTAGTTCTGTGTAACTGGGTGTTGTTGGCGGGATTGAATGATTTCTGGAAAGGTGAATGCATCATAATGAATTACAGCAGAATATTTTACGTTAGATAAACGATGTGAAACAACTGCTGACAAATATTACATCACAGCTTATTATTTTGATCACTTTCACAATGCCTCAGTATTTAGTGCGTTGTTTTTGCCATTTACGTTACCACAGCTAAAGTAGTATGGATCCAGTGCTGAAATGTCAAATGTTATAGAAACCTTAAATGCTGTAAATATCCCACAGCTCAGCTTGGTATGTATATGGAATGCTTTCAGTGAGTTTGGGAGCAGTGTAGGTAGGTCAGCGTATGATTGGCCTCTTCTTGGCGCAAGGTGACTGAAGGAGGTACTGAGGAAAAACTCTAGGCTTGCTGTTGCTATCGACAGCATCTGACTCAAACAGAGGTAGTTGTAATCATTCCTGACAGAGCATTCAGGGAGATGCTCTCACACCTTGGAGAACAAGAGCATGTCCTTATATGACTTGACTTATTTGATGACAGCTCTTTTAGAAGAAAATTTAGCAAGAAGAGAACCAATGCTTATTTGTTTTCTATTGTCCAAGGTCGTCATAAGGCCACAACCTGTACGACCTGAACTTAAAAAAGAACTAAGACCTTTGAAAGGAAGTAACTATCTTCCAGCTTGCTTCCACTGCTAAACATATTTACTTGTTAGCGCAGCTAGAGTTGGAAGGTTTTTGTAGAGACTACTACAGAAAATGAGGACCATAAAATTATACTGAATGTAGATATATGTTGTGTTTGTAATGGAGTAAGAGTACAGTATCTTTCACAGCTACTGCTTTGGAAAGGGTAAATTGCTTGTTTTGTACACAGTGTGATTCCCTTGCAAAGACAGTTTCCCATAAGGCCGGCCCATGTAAGCCTACGGCCAGTGTCTGTTTAGCTGGCATCCACGTGAAGTTTGTTACTCCATAGTGATGGTTCCCCTTTGTCAGCCTACATGACTGAAGCCCTTTATACTGATGTGGCTGAAATATTAAGAGTGTGCATTATAACAGCATGGCTAACGTTCTCCCAGATTATCTATTAGCTAGAGCAGCCGGTCTGTTGGATTTCAGGTTATATAATTACACTTTTTTACCTTTAGTCTCACAGAAAGCTGAATCTAAAGTAAAATGGATATCACCTGATTGGAATTCCTTTATGGTTCATGTTTATGTTGGTAGGAGTCCAATTTCCCATTCTGCCTTTGATCAGGGGTAATTAGAAGTCAGATAATCACAATTAGAAGTCTTGGGCTGTCTTCCATCATTCTATTCTTGACCCCATCATCCAAACAGATGGAATTTTACCTGACATTCATTTCCAGGCCAGAAATTTGCTAAACTAGATTAGATTGGGTTTCCATGCTGTCTGTTAGCACACTGGAATTCGTCTCCTGCCTGCCCCTACTCAGAGGCACCTTCAGACATGTGCTTGCTATCCAGAGCAGGTCAGGCAGTAACAAAGGACTTCCAAGCAGCTTCTTTTTTGTTGTTGTTGTTTGTTTCCTTTAGTATCTGACCTTGGAGTGTGATCATGTCTGCTGTGTGTTAAAGGTATTTGAGCACATCACTTAAGCTAGCAAGTCTTTTTTTTTTTTTTTTTTTTCCTCCACTGAGGGTCTTAATTAATCCAGGAAGGGTTTATGACCTTGAACAAACTGTGTGCATTGAAAATTTGGGTAGCGAAGCAGAAAAGTTGTTGGGAGAAGTTATCAGAATAATGCACAAGTTTAGTGTTTGCTTTTCAGCATTGAGAAGTACTGAGAATGAAAACGAGCTTTTATTAGGTTGTTCACGGTTAATTTTGTATTTTGCAGTCTTTTTTGCTAGCCCTAAGATATTCCTGCAAACAAACCGCTCATCTGGTAACTAACTGAGTAACTAACTGAGTTTGGTTTGAAACAAAATGCTTAACACTTAAAATACTGTCCATCGCCTGCAGCACAAGATTGCCGTTCATAAAACTTGTAAGGATAATGCTTTAAAACATCTTCTGCAGTTCTGACATGCTGTACTGTGAGATTTTGACAGGAATTAAAAACATCTGTGGTCAAAAATAACCTTTAAATGATGTAGTTCTAGATATGAATTGGCGGCTGAACTCCAGAGGGAGAAGAATAGGTATTTATAGAAATCCTTTTGAATGGTTTGGGTTTTTAGAACTCAGACATGCTGTATGCAAATAGCAGCATCAAAAACAAAAACAGGATTTGCTTTGCTCTGAAAATAAATTGGCTTCTGTTTGGAACCGTGGGCATAGTACCTTGTTATAACAGAATTATCTGAAAAAGTGCCCGGATTTGTAAAAGTGAAAATCCCCGAGCTGCTATTCATGTACTGTTTAATACATCTAATTCCAAGTGTGACTGAGGTACATGCTGCAGGACGGGCGAGCAGCAGCCGCACAGACAGGATTGATCTGTCATATCTTGGGAAGGGGTGAGGGGCTTCACAGGGAACTTAGTGGGAAGGCCAGAGGAATGCAGGAGCCAAAGGCATCATGACTTCAGGATATGAGGCGTTTCTTTTTGTCATTTAAAACGCTGTGTGTCTCTGTCAAGAGGAAATATTACACTAGGGTTTAAACCAAGAAAGGTCATAGGTTATGTGTTTTCAGTGAGCTGTAACTGATGGTCTGATCTGCTTAGAGGTAGGATTAACCTCCCTCTCTCTCAGAAAGGCCTCGCAGAGAATTGTTTGCTTGGGTTTCTAATCTTATTTTACCCCAAATGCCATGTGCCCTTATTGGTGGCAGAGGAGATTCTTGTGGTAGTGGAATCAGTGAAAAGCTGGTAGATCACACAAGAAGCCTCTGAATGAAGGCAGAATTGAAACTGGGAAATAAAGAAAACAGCAGGCAGGTCACCCTCTCAGGAAAACAACATTCATTCTCAGTCATGCACATCCTAACACTTTTGACGGCAATTTATCATGGAAGACTGGGTTCACCGCAAGGGCTAACACATGTCATAGGTTAAATCAGAAAAGGCAGTACTGAAAGGAAACTTCAAAGTCCTTCAGACACAGAGTTAAATATGTTGGGAAAAAGCTTACGATATTTGTTGTATAGATAAGAGTAAACAGCAAGCTGGAGGAATTTTGGCAAAACAGTGGGATTGTTGTGCCTGTTGAGGCACCAGTTCTGTGCCCCTGCAGTGGATGTGCGTGGCTCTGAAGAATGCAGTCGTAGTTTGCAGGAGGTCGGACAGGTTGAGCTGACAGGCCTTCTCCAAATGGAATTGCTGTGCATCAATAGGTAGACTTGGATGTGCCTGCTCGTGGTGTGCTCAATGGCTGGGGAAGTTCCCCTTTCCCACAGTAGACCTGGTCCTGCTGGGCACTTGCTGCTCTCCATTCAAACCGCAGCCGGTACGCAGCACAGCCATGGCACCTTCCAGAGTGGGCACTCAGCTCCAGACATGGGCTGTGAAGCTGGGAAAGAGCTCTCTGAGCTGTCAGGTGGATGCAGTGGCAAACTGAGAGCGTGGCAGCACCATAGTGATGCTTCTAAAAGATCTCTGCACACTGGGGTCACACAGGTGGTTAAGTTTTCTCTGTTCAGGTGCTTTTTGAGTTAGAAATCAGTTAGCTAACCCGAGCTGCCCATTACTGCAGATAGTAGCAGCTTCAGTTTTGTGTATCTAAGCATCCATGTGCATGCCACTTCTGTTGAAGAGCTTTCTTATCCAAGGTCCTGCCAGGCAGGGTGGCTACTGCCCGTGTCACTACAGGAGTGTGCACCACATCCACGCACGCAGCTCTGTGTGCTGACTCAAGGAGCAAAATGACATTGTTGCCAGAGGAGCACGTGTGGAGCTGCTCACTGAGGCTGTTAAATAGAAGATGGCAGGAGTTAATGCTGAAGGCTGGAGCCAGTTAGCATTCTGCAGCAGTTTGAGTGCCTCATCAATCCTTGCACAGTTCAGCATTGCTCTTCCTACACTCCCAAATAACACAACTGTACTTCTCGTGACATTTCAAGAAAAGGTATTTTGTCTGTGATGTTAGTATTTTTCTAAAGGACCCTGGGTCTTTTTTCTCCTCCCGCTTAATCTTCCCTAGGATTGTTTACGAGCCTGCCAAGAACAGATTGAATCCCTCCTTGAATCCAGTCTACGCCAGGCACAGCAGCACAACGTATCTTCAGAAACAAAGACTGTAGAGGACGAAGCAGACCTTTCCTGCACACCCACTGATGTGCGAGATGTGAACATTTAAGAGGACTTCTTCTAATGGGTTTGCTTGGCAAGAGAAGCAGACAAAGAAAGGGCATCTGAGAAGGAATCAGCATCGGGATCTCCCCCCCAGAAACCCTTTTCTCCAGGACATTTTTATACCAGAAGGGAAAACCAGTCTTGTTATATTTTTTCTTGCTCTGTCTCCCTTCCATCTGTGACTTCAAACAAACAAATAAACAAAAAATACCCCAAAAACTGTCTTAAAAAAGGAAAAAAATAGTATTTGCATTGCCCCCAGGGGTTTGTGCTACAAAAATAGAGGATTTTATACAATAATAATCAACTAGTTTTTATATTAAAGTGTTCTTGTCTGTATGTTGTAAAAATAGGCATTAACACACAAAATGTCTCCAGGGGAGGTATTAGATTTGATTTCTTACATATAAAACCAACCAACCAACCAACCATTTTTAAAGTAGAAGAGGGTTTTTTTAGATAGTAAATGAAATATTCTTTTTTTTTTCTTTAAAAAGCATAACTTTAACGCAGTTCTAGGCTTTTCTGTATCTTGCTTGCTTATGCATTTAGTCACTTTATAATTCATCTGTAAATGTTTATTTTATTTCCTTAGTTTTTTTTTTTATCCTCTTCACCTTATAAATGGTTAACGTAACCCATAAGTTAGTGTATGTTAGTATACAGCATTATTATATGTTAATCTTTTTTTTTTTTTTGTGCCTGTGGATTGCCTGTGCATTTGTAGGGTTCCAGCTTAGCGTTGTTGGGAAAGGCCAATGTACTACTCATACGATACTCTATTATAAAGAGAAACCGAAATAGTGACATAATATATTATATTTTTGTAATCTTCATATTTTTGTAGTTACCTGTGTAAAAATGCTGGTCTGACCCCACAGATATTCAGCCTAATTATGGTCAGGTTCAATCCACAGTTTAGTCTTTTTTTGTTTGTTTGTAATATTCTAAAACCATTCCATTCAAAGCACTTTCAGTCCATTAGATATAGGAAATACATTCTTTTATTGTGTGGGAATTTTTGTTTGTTTTTTTTTTTAATGGAATGGTTTGGAAATATATTAAGTGCTTGTTCGCAAACTCAGAATTGCAAAGCAAGTGCATTTAACTATGGTGTTAGAGGAAAGGTGATTTTTTTTCCGAAGGTTGTGTTCCAGTGAGAGAAATTGCATTCACAAATTGCCAGGATATCTTCCTATCCTTTTCTATAGAAAAGTTGAAGTTTAGAAATCCTTTGGTGCCAACACATGGTTATAAATTAGGGGCCTTAAAGGTTCACATATAGGACGCATAGTTTAAGGACTGTCTCTAGATGTTTTACAACTGAAGGTTTTTAAACACTAAAATATATAATTTATAGTTAAGGCTAAAAAGAATATTTATTGCAGAGGATGTTCGTAAGGCCAGTATGATTTGTACAATAATGCAATCGCCCCTGTTTGAAAAAAAGAATCGTTCTACCCTTGATGTCGCAGTTTTAACACAGCTTATTAAAGAAAAAGGACACGCTTCAGAGAACAAACCCAAAACCAAGCAGTCTATTTGGCCCCTTAGACATTTTCAATAGCAGGCTAACCATGAAAAAAAACGCCATAGTTAATAGATATGAAAATTGGAGTACTTGAAAGAAGTTCTTATTCCAGTATATGCCCCATTTTTTTTTTTTTTTATTTAGCTACAAATAGAAAATTTGCACATCTTGGCTATGTATCTTTTTATTATTATTTTAGGAAGTAGCTGAAGGGACGTGGACATAGCTGTTGAAGTTGATGCTCGAGGAGAATGTGATGGTGAAATGTATGTGAGAAAACTGCCGCTAAGGTGTTGATTGTAAAAACAATACAAAACAAAAAAAAAAAAGGAACAGAGAAAAAAAAAAGAAAAAAGAAGAAAAAAAGTTAAAAAAAAAAAAAAAGAAAAAAGAAAAAAGAGAAAAGAAGAGGAGTGGATGCTCCATTTTTATTGAGCTGCTATGGATAAATTCCCAGCATGGTTTGAAAAAAAATTAACATTGCTTTTCTGTATCTTTGTCATTGTGTTTTGCTGCTATTTTGTGGATCAGTTTTTTTTTTTTTTTTTTTTTTTTTTGTTATACAATGTCATATACTGCCATGTTATAGGTTTTAATTTTCTCATAGAAAATTATATTATTGACATCATTTTTTTTTTTTTGTAGATTTTTTATGTGATCAATTTTTACTTAATGTGATTACTGCTCTATTCCAAAAAGGTTCCTGTTTCACAATACCTCATACTTCAGTTAACCATGTCTAGACCAGGTTTTAATGTTCGTACACAGTGCCTCATAGTTCTACTGCAAATGGAAATGCATCGAACGTTGTTCTGAATGGGTCTCGCGATTTGCAACTAGGTTGCATTGATTTAAAGACAGCAGACATTTCAGGAGATCAGTAATGTCGCTTTTTGTTGTTACACATTTTATAAAGCTGGATTCTTTGTCTGATCTGGGGTTTATTATCATAGTAGTTCTAAGCTGTGTTATTAGCCACATTGATATATGAAAGGTGCATTATAATATAACTTTTGTATGCCACCTGATGTGGTTCCCGTCAGTTGGGATCCATCACTTGGTGTGATAGGTTATCTTCTGGAACTCTTTAAGTATTTTGTGTGTTTAATCTGTTATGATATACTAGGGTTGTTTGTTGGTTTTTTTTTTTTTAGTTTTTGTTTTTGTTTTTAATTTTTTTTTTTTGTTAATTATAGCATAATGCTAATTTAAAAAGCCTGTAAATCTCATAAATAAGCCAGCTAACAGAGTTGTATGCTGAAGAATAATCTAGCTGTTGCCTGTATGCTGCTAAACCAAAACAGAATTAGAACTCTTTTGAGGCAAATGCAGTTAAGACTCTACATAGTGCATAAACAGAGCATTGCAATGCTACTAGCAGTCGCAGGACCCAGGAGGACTGGATACATTCTGTCCAAATTTCAGGAACATTTCTTACTGCTTACCTCATTAAACACTTCTGTTTGTGGCATCTCTGTGTCTCTGAACCAAACATGATTACTGAGTTAGTGGTTGTTGGTTATGTTACGTGTTACACTGAGTGGCAGTGTGTACTGCAAATTTCTTTCCATATTGTATGTACTGAAATGCCAAATCCAGATACGTGGGTTCATGTGCCAACAGAGATGCTTTGTTTGTCACGTTGTTATAACAATCTGTAGTAAGCAAGCAATTCAGATTTGTACATTTTTATATTGTACTTATTGGCATCACTGGTCTGAAATGCACATTTTCACCAACAGACCTGTAACAGACAAGTTTCCAGCAAAAAAAAAAAAAACAAAAAAAAAACAACAAAAAAAAAACAACACTAAAGTCTAGAAATAAAATTGGTAAAACCCAGTGCCTTCTTGTTGTGTCTTGTTGTGTTTTATTACTTTCACACATTCAGAATGGTAGTAACTGTGTCATGTAACAAATAAGCCACACCACTCTCATTCTGACTGGGCTTTAATAATTGCAACGCTAACATTTTTATCACTGCTTCAGGAAAGCAGGTGTTCTTAGAAGTGGGCAGGTGACTGGCACTCAATTATGCTTGTCAGTGTTGCTCACTGTATGGTTTTGTGCCTGGCAACGCATTTACAGAAAGGGTTTGTTTTAAAAAAAGCCAAGTTAAAATCAGCAGTCTCTTCCTTCCCCCCGCCTCCTAGAGAGCTTTTGCTGGTTACTGGTATCAGAGATGATGAGGAATTAATACAGAAAAAAGCCTGCTACAATACACAAAAAAAGAACTGGACTTGAGAAGGAAATACAACAGTAATGAGGTACGATTACAAAATGAGAAAAACTTACAAACTGTTTGCCAATTCCTTCTCCAAGGTGCCTCTCTGAAAACGATGCGTGTTGCCAATTGCAAGAGCTGGGCACAGCAGCAACAGATCATTCTTTGTGGAGAACAATCACACTTCCTATCTATGTACTGACTATGGAGCATGAGAGGAGAACGTGATGTCAATTACTGCATTAGAAGTATCAACTCACCTGAAATGTCAAGTCTCCCTGGATGACAAGTGGTATCTGCTTTATGAGCTTCCCAGGGACTAAACTGCACGTCACAACCTTTTCTAAGCAGTAACTACTGCAAAGGAGGCTACAATGAAAGCTGCTGACAACTGTTACACACAGTCTAGTGCAAAATCAGTCTGTCCTAGTGCATTCACTCATATGTTTTGAGGGAGGACAGACTTAGGATCCTGATTTGGGACAAACAGCTTTTTGCTGGGGGAAAAAAAAAAACAATGAGAAATTTCAACCTGCTTTCTGTTGAACGTGTTAAGTGGTTTTTGCCTTTTCTATGATGTTTTACACTATTAAAATCAGATATTCTGTCACTTCAGTAGGTTTAAGTCCTGACTGTCAGCTCTGCTATTTACATTTTCTTTCTCTTAAGCATCATTTCTGAATGCAGCCTACTAAATTCAAATGTATTATTCACATTGAAAAGGGCAGGATGACAAGAATGTAGCAAGAAAAACAATTTACTATAGGCTGTAAAAAATCTGCACATTCAGCTAGGCTGCGCTCTTGCTCATTAAAAGGAAAAATACTTTATTACATCAGATGGAGAAGCATACACAGAAAACATCCAAAAGATCTCCAAAACCACCAATTCCATTGCTGAATTAAGACTGGCAAACTCGTATCTTTTATGAATATTAACATCACACATTCTTTATTAAAGAATAAGCAGGGTCCATTAAATGCAGAAACTGGAAATCCACTTATGTGGAAGCATACTGGCATTTAAAGGGATGGAAAACTCCAGATAAAGGAGAAAGAGAAGCTTGGAGCTACTGTTTCAGGAGAGCCACAGGAATGACCCAAGCAGGTGGGCTAGATGCTCTGGTAAGATTCCTAGTAGTGTCACTGAAAAGCTACAATGGGACAAAGGCAGTAAAACTACAAATGATGGCATTTCAATGGAATCCCATCCCATCAACATCTCAACAGTTTCTCAGTGATCCCGTTAGCACCTGCACAGCCATACTAAAAAACTGCCAAATATTTCCAGCCACAGTTTTTACGAATACTCTTACTTAAAGAGAAAACTGGCACTGCGTGCTCTCAGTGTACCACGAACAAGGCACGCATGCAGCATCTGAACTCTGCATGGGCTTTGCTGCTGTGGAAGCACCACCCCGCAGTACAGGGACAGCTTCTGGGGTCCAGGCTGTACACAGCACTTCCAGCCAACTCCTGAAAACAAAAACCAACGCTCTGCAGAGGATCAATTCCTACCCTGAACAGCTCCTGTTTTGGGGGAGCAATACCTACAGTACACAGATTAATTCCAAAAACAGTTTTTACCTTTCCAATCTCCCTCTCTGGGTTGTGGAGGTTGTATTTAGTGCTGCTAGAGGTCTTCTCACTTACACTGTATGAAAAAAAGAATCCATCTGTGTGGATTTCACCTCTGTTCTTATTTTACTTATGGCTTATGCTACCTTTTCATTTATAATATCTTTGAAGAAAAGCAACACTTAGTTTTTATTTCAGGTAAAGAACCCATCTCAGTGTAGCAACTCATCTTGAAACAACACCAAGCCTGCACATTCATTTAAAGACAAATAGAAAGTTACACTCCTGTCATATTCGAAGTATAGATTAGGGCACAGCTACAGCACAATGTTCCCAACTAAAATGTTTGTCATATGGCGAGGCCTACCTGAAAGCCAAAGGCTGCCCACTCAAATCAGACCTCGATTACCTCTGCTCATCTCTGACTGACCTGGCACGAGCTGGAAAACAAAGAAGCAAAACATGAACTTAAGCAAATGTTGCTTAAGTCGTATGTGGTAACAAACTTGGATGGGGTGAGCGGTGAAAGCATAGGGCTTCAATTTGTATGTGAGTGCATGCGACTCACAGAACAGAAATCACTATCTATTCACCATTCTCAACCCGAGCAAATAAATTTTGGATGATATGTTGCTGTAGTGGTGGGGCTTTTTTATTTCACCCATCACACCTGAGTACCTGTGGCACTTGTCTGCTTCCATCCAGATGCTATATGCCATTAAATGCCTGGTCTCCTGCGACAGCTTATGAGTTACCTACTGCCTGTGAGGATGTTACTTGTAACATTAGCACCAGTCTTCAAGGAGTTGGGCTGAGATGAGCAAACCGTTTAACAAAGGCCACTAAGCCACCACTAGAGCATTACGACAGCTTGCCTGAGCCAGCACTGAACGAGTGACCCGGTGTCCTAAGTCACTGCTCTGATGGCAGACTGTCTGAAACAGACAATTGAGCTTTTGATGTTTTATTTCTCCTTTTATTAGATTTTATCGCTATAGATTGTTTGAATACACGGTATTACTTTTGAACAGCTTTTCTGCTCCTTCAGCACACACGGGCCATCGTTCTTTACATTTGGTTGCTGGCGACGTTAATTACGAAGAACAGCTCTCCAGCAAATTTACTCCCCAAGCTTTCCAGAAGAAATCAGCAGTTATTTTCTCAAAACTAGCCATTATTTCTTATAATTACATTTATTTCATTTTTGACTTTATACATCTGTAGCTGCTTCAGTCATTCACTGGGCCCACTTTGCTTCTTTTACACAATGTATCTATCAACTGCGTATTAATCCTGGCTTTTCTTTTCATAGAAGCCCTTGGACTGCAAAGAATCAGACAAGTTCCTCCTTTATGGACAATACAGTTTAAACTGATCACCTGAGAATTCCAGGCAAATCCCAAGTACAGCTCCTTGTAAATGTCTCTCCAGGTTTTTCTCTAACATGATTTCTCTCATTATTTCTGAAACCACTGATGCTACTGGATTGCTCGAGCAGTCTGTCCCCACCTTATAGCATAAAACAACTTCTAACATCATGACATGCAGTTATAATGTACTTATGGTTAAGGTGGTTTACAAACTCCCAAACTGTGCTCAAATAAATCATTCTCCATTTCACTCAGCTATCCCAGATATGACGCAAAGTGATGCTGTAAGTTTAAATGGTTTTAAGGTTACAAGGTGCTTCAGTAACTGTGGCACAACCAAGGGTGCTCTCAAGAAAATACACTGCAAACACAATCTCTAGATTTCCTTTAAGAATTACATACTATTATGTATTCTAAGTTACATACTAATATCGTTCTGAGTTTCAAACATTCATTTGTTTCTACGTGTATTCCAGAGACTATTAAGTGCTTATTAACAATAGATTGTTTTGTTTTTTTTTAAGAAGGTAAGTGGGGTCTCAAAAATTCAGTGTCTGCACATACACTACACTACACTACACTACAAAAAAAAAAAAAAAAAAAAAAGCCAGTTTAGAGAACAATGTGGGCATGTGTTTTTAAACTACTGTTCGTGCAGTCTGGTCAGGACTGTGTGACACAGTATACAGTGTTTTGTCATCCAAGGAATGTCTTTGATCAAGAGTTTATGCAAGAAGGAAAAAAAAGCCATGAAACCCTAATCCGTTCCCACAGTCCAGTAAACGTGAGCTGGACAAACAGTGGACAATAGCAGTAAAGCTTGCTGCTGGAACAATAGCTGCAACTAAAAAAATTAAAGGGTTGCTGACTCACAGTTCCTACAATCAAGATTCCACGCGGTGTCGATTATTCCACAGAATCCTGAAGAAGCTGAAAGTTACAAATTGCAGCTAAACATTACATGGATAGAAAGCAGCAAATCGTGCCGCTGAACAATCAGCAAGGAAGGAGACAGTGACAAATCCTGATGCTGACTCCGCTTAGCGCGGAGCTGAGATGCAGGAACTGAATAAGCAATCCTCTTCCTGCCAAAACAGGACTTTTGCTGAAAGTAAACTCCATAATTTGATTATAAACAAATAGTAGTTTAATTCTTTCAGACAGTATTCTACTATTCCAGATGCCATCCATACATATTCTGCTCTACAGACACTTTCTGATGTTGGAATAGAAAAGCTAGATGCTATTTCTTGTACCTATTCAGAAACGATCTGTATGCTATTTTGCTATGACGGATGGACGGACGGAAGGAAGGAAGGAAGGAAGGAAGGAAGGAAGGAAGGAAGGACGGACGGACTGTGGAATTGGCTAATTACGTATATATATATGAAAACCAATACTGTACAGCAAGCCACTTCAGATTCAACTGGCACTTTCTATAGCTTTCATACATTTTATATGAGAATGAATGGGTACTACTTTACATTAACGAAGATCTCCAAGGTCTTGCACACTGGTTATGTCTCAGACAAACATAATGACCATGTTTCCTTCTGCAGAATATTACATCATTTGGTAGAGCTATATGCTACTCAAGAGTTGACTTAAATATTTTACTTAAAGAATCCTAGGGTGAGAAATGCTGTAAGAATATAATTATTACACTTAAGGAATAAAAAGTCCTGTGATTAAGGCAAGAATATTCAGTGCAGTGCTAGTGATAGTCATGTTAGTTCCAGATGAATTAACTACAGTGAAGAGCCTCAGCACCAGACTACTCTAGTTAGCCTTTACAAGTCAATTTTAGACACCAAAAGTTGCAGCTTGATCACAGTACTCATTTCATCTCTCCAAGATCTCATCTTCTCTGGTGATATCTCCCTGACAATGTGTACTGTCATAACTCTGTCCATTAAAAAACAAAACCAAACAAACTTGAGACAGAATGCAAAATGAGAATCTTCATAGTTACTTGTCCAACTATGAAAGCTGAAGTTTTAGGTTATAATTAGTCCAGAAGAAGCTGCTATGAGAAACTGCAAAGGGTAGTAATATTTCAAAGGCATTAGTATCCACACTGCATTGTACCCGAGAATATGAAGAATTACAATTTTCATTTGAAACCAAAGCCTTTAAGAAGGTCTTGATGGGACTCATCACACACATGTACATGCCTGATCCTGCTTTGTTACAACCTCCTCTGGTGTGCCTTTGGAAATAATGATTCCAATCCAGATGGACTTCAGCTAATTGTAGTATTTCAGAAGCTTTTAAACTATATCCTTAAGATCATCAGACACACAATCAACAGCACTTGGTAATAATTAGTTCTTCACATTGCTAGCACTGCAGAAACTGTTTAAGAAAATAATGACCCTGACAAGGAGCTCTACCTTCACTTTGAGTGCCCACTTTACCTCCAGAAAATGCCACTTATTAGTATAGACAATTCCTCTCAAACATTCAACACTGTAATTACAGGACATGATAAAAAAAAACACAGATGTGGTTTTTAGGTCACTAAGGAGGAAGGTACATGCTCTTATTGAAGAATAAAACTTGAAAACAATCTGAAATTGTTAAATCAGATCTTGAAACAGAAGGCTGTATTTAATAAAAGCCACAGCTTTTGCAGATTCTAAGTAAATAATAAATAATCAGTATTAGATCCAGGACTATTGGTTGCACGATTTTTAGAAACACAAGATTAGATTCAGAATGTATTCAAAACGTGTGTAGATGCACACAGAACAAAAAGATGTGAACAGGACAGGATTTATGGATTTCAAACTTTCCAAATTCACATTATGTGATCTCTTAATGTGGGTAAGTTGTCTTAAAAGAATATAAGTTCTAACGCTAAAGCACTGTGGAGCAAGAAGGTGCAGGCACACTTCTGAATGAGGGATCTTGGTTTGTTTCAATGAGAGACACTATTTACAGCCAAAGTGTAAATAAACTTTCATGAATACACCCAAGGGCTCAAATTCTTCCACCTCTTCCAAAACAAAGCATTTGTTCATACACGTTCATACTGAACTACTGGAAAATTAAAGCTCTCAATTCTATCTCAAGATTTCTAATGCATACTCTACAATAATCGACAGAAGTGTGCTATCTTTCTAGAAACCCTAAGGACAGACCAAAATGGGTGCTTGACTCACTCTTCCTCTAAATGATGCATTACAGACATCTGGCAACATGAGATTGCACAGGTTCTATGTACAGGATAGAAAACACCACTGCTTTTCTATTTTATACCTCAATAGCAATCAGATCAAAAAGTCACATAACCAAACTGGGATATCAGGCTTTCCTTACAAATTCAAATACAAATTACAGTAACCTTGTTTCGGGAAGACATAATAGGATTCTCCTGCTTTCTGAGGGAACGTTTGTTTTCTCTGATTTCACAATTTTCTGTTAATTACAGGTATCTCTTCAGAGCTGAACTCGATCCCATTCACATTACAGTTCATGGCAAATGGAATGGAATTGTACTTGTTTAATGAAGACGGAGCAAGCATTTTAATAATGACTTTAACTTGAAGGTTTTAATCTGTAGGAGAACAGTTAGTCACAGCTTGAGCTGGTGACTGAGCACCTGGTGAAGAGGTGTGGCTGGCCCAGGGGGCACAGGCAAATTGTTGGCACCTGTGCTCCCTGCATGACCAGAAGGTGTGGACCGAGGGTGGAGCCCTTCTGATCTCAAGTAAGGGCCAGCTGCTAAAGGGAGAGCATCTCTTGGGCCTTGGCTGTTTCTTGAGAAGGGGTGCTGCGTAGCCAGAGATCCAGTTGGGTGAGTTCAGCTCTGCTTTTTGTATGTGACTATTGGGGTACTTGCAAGTATTGCTAAGAACCTGCTGGAGTGATTCTGCTTCTTTGTGAGTAGAGCACCATCCTGGTTTTTTGTCCTCCTCTAAGTTCTTTTTGAAAATCTGTGTATAGAAATGCAGTCTCAGTAAAGAACTTTTACTGTGTTGATGTAGTACAATGTCACAGATAACCGACAAAGTCAGGTTTACATGTCCTAGTAATGACTGATTTGGGATTAGCAGCCAATGACCCCATGACTATAAGACAACACTGAAATCAGAATGGAATTCTGCAGGGAATTAATTCACTGTAGTCAGAGATGAGCTTACCTTTCCTTGTTGATGCCTCAAAACTCCCCATTTCTTGTACTCTTGTAATTTAGAAATGAAAACTGTAAGTCTTTTCAAGTGAAATGACTTTAATACACTAGCAGTAATTAGCTTTGCATTCACTCTTAAAATGAAAAATGTATGCTCAACACTTTAAGTCCACAAAGAAACAAAACAAGCCAGAACGCAGCCCCAACAAGTCAGAAAATTAAGAGTTAAATATTTCAAGTGTTCCTCCCTAACTACTGAGCATAACTAGCAGTGGTGAATAAAAACATATTAAAATGCATTGCTGTGAGTCTTAGTAACTTCAGTATTTTTGGCAGAAATCTTCCATGCTACTTGTTTTTATCAGATCAAGTATCTCCAGGAAGACTTAAACCACTATGATTGCAGAGCCACAATCTGTCCTACTTTATTAATAACTGATAGTGCAGTCTACAAGACTGCATTTTTCCCTTCCAGACCTTAAAGCATTCCTGAAGTTGTGCAGTCAGTTGCTGAGACCAGACAATGTCGGAGTGACTGTTTCACGGATGCTTTATTCAGCCTCTCCACACACAGATCTCCTGACAGTCTTTAATTTCAGTTTAAAACCTGTTTCCACCAGGGTCCTGACAAGATGAGTAACCAAGATGCTAATGAAACCTTTCACAAGAGTTTTTCATTAATTTCTTACGGATTTAAGAAAGTGTTAGCAAGACGGGCACCAAAAGAAGAGAAAAACATATGCCCTACATTTCATGAAACCAGACAGTCTTTTGAATACCCTGGCCATCCCAAATATTAATGATTTTTTGTTCAAAAATAGCACTGTAGTTGACTTAAGCATGTATCTTTCACAGGTTTTTGCTAACCCTTATGTTCTTCGTTTCCTAGGTTTCTCCTCTGATCAACACAACCGAAAGTAGAAGCATGTAAAAAGCCAGGTCCTCCTAGTCACTCTTGATGTCAGTAAGTAGCACATCCTGATGTACCCAAGTAATTAAAATGCAAGATTATTTGCAAGGCGTCACACTGATTAAGACAAACCAATATTCATCATGTAATCTGGTCTTTAACTCCTTAGTTGTCACTAAAAAACCTCCTCTGTGCTGTGGAGACTAGCATTAAAATCCTGAACGTCACAAGAAACCCTAATCCACAACTCTGTTACAGAAGATATTTTTTAAAAGTTTGCACTGAAGAACTGCATGATTACATATCTAACTGTAGTTCATATAACACAAATTATCATGCCCACATAAAAGATGATCAGAAAAACAGAGGTGTGCACACACCTGTAGCTAAGTTAAGGACCTAAAGCTGGCATATCCCAGGTTGAAATCAGAGATGCTACAATCTTTATAGTTATTTTCATATTTATGTTAGCGATTGATATTAAAATATAGATTTTAATAGAGGAGGATAGTAAAGCAATAGCAGAAATTTAGCCATGAGATTTAAAAATAAGGTGTTAAGTGACTGATCTGCAAGGATCCATCTTCTCCTCAAGAAAACAAAATGAATTTCGTATTCAATACAATCTCTAGAGAAGCACTTAGCATGTCACTTACATAGCACACACTTCTAGTCATCAAATGCACCACAGATACTTTGAGCTCTCATCTCTTTCCCAGTTTTTCTACGCATTTTTGCAAGCCATGTACAAAGATTCCAGAAAAGATCACTTGTTCAAACTTGAATGCTTAGACATCCAGTGTTTACTTCTCTTTGTACAATCATTCAGAAGAGCAATAAACTGCCCTTCTGACACCAGATCAGCTTGGGGGGAAGGAGGACACTTATTTTAAATGTAATATCTAGCTTTTGACCAAAAAAAAACACTGAGTCAGTCACAGCTGAATATTAGCACATTCTCACTGCTTTGAAGTAAATGGGTTAAATAGCATGATTTGTGGGGAAAAAAAGTGTTAATTTGTGGATCCTGTGACAGCTTTTTCAAATTTAGCTTTCTCTGAAGAGAATCTAAAATGAAATTACATTTCTCTGGTAAATGACCTCTCTGTTATGTGTCTACTGATTTATTGAGGCTATATGGTATGCTCTTTTTTTTGCTTAGGTCTCAGGTGCTCACACACTGGAGCTTGTTCACACTGCCCAATGGTTTAAGTTGCACAATAATTAAAAGCCATACTTCAGCTGCCCTAAATGAAGCTGCCAGCAATGCTGTCATGTCACTTCCAAAGTCTGAAATAAAGAAACAAGCCACAAATAAATCCTACCTCAATACTACTTTATTTCAAAAGAAGGCACCACATTGTTAGAAGAGCTGCATCATGCATGCATGTGTTCTGCACTACTTGAACAACTTCATCTTAATGAATACTTGTGAACTATTACAAGAAGCATTACTTACAGGCTATTTTTAAACAGTATAAAAACCTCCTCCACTAGATGGCTCTGACAGTATATACATCAAAGCTGTTTGAACACTTATAGATTTATGTATGTACACCCATAAGTAACTATTAACAAAGGCAGCTGATATTGACACATTCATGTACTCAGGAATCAGACAAAAATAAAAGATGACTTTGAAATGGAGTCAATACATATGCACACAGGTATACATTCAACAAAATATCTGTATCTTTTTAGTCCAAAATAACAATAAAAAAGCAAAACATATGCCCTTGCATTCCAGATGCAAATGCATAGTAAACATTTTCAAAGATTTAAGCTGCACCTGTGCTCCCCATGTGACCAGAAGGTGTGGAGCCACCCTGGGCTCATATAAGAGCCAGACACTGAAGGGAGAGCATCTTCTGGGCCTTGGCTGCTTCCTGAGAGTGGGTGCTGTGTAGCCAGAGTTTCCCTTCACCAGCAGGGTGAGTTCAACTCTTTTTCTGCACGTGACTATCAGTGTACCTTTGCCTAGTATTGCCATCTGTCAGAAGTAATTTTGCTTCTTTGTGGGCAGAACAAGTAGCAACTTCTTCTAGTAGCCATGTTTCTGTTACTGATAACTTAAATTGCTAGGGTTTGGGTCTATTTGTTCTTGTTTTGTGATGTTTGGATAAGTCTGCAAAACTAGCATAGGAAAAAAAACACAAGATTCACACTCTGAGTTGCAGCTACTTTATGAACTGGTATCTTAACCTTCCTTCATTTGTGTTCTTACTTCATGTGTATTCTACCTTCCCCCACAGAGGTGTTCACTACTGCAAGCTCTGTAGGCAACTGATTCAATCTTCACCTAAAACAACCTACACATTGTGTAAAATGGATGATCTACATATGTAGATTTTTAAAAAATAATATACATTCTTTAAATAAGAAAGCTTTGCATATGCATGTGTTTTCCTTTTAAGGAAAGGCTGGTGAAGAGTGAATCAAATACTTCTATTCAACAGGCTTTCAGTGTTTCTATAATCCTAAATAATGCCATGAGATTAAAAAAAAAAAACACAAAAAAACACCTCGACAAATATAAGAAACCATCAAATGTTTTGTGCTTTTTCTTTACCACTTTAATATTTAACATCTCTTTGCTACTTGGATTCTGTTTAAAACAAATGAACGCTTTTCCAGTTATCTGTTCTTTCATACGCCTTTTTTCATCCACGTTTATCTTCAGCTTTTATATTCAAAATGTAAGTGAAGATCTTTCATTACTGACTCTAAAATCAGATCGAATATTTAGCATTGAACAAACCTAAAAAAGAATAATGAGAGTGTTCTGATGCGTCCATTTTCCAAAAGGAAATTCAACTAAACTACTAATTCCTCCTTTTCTATTTATTCTTCTGGTCCTGCTTGTAATTCACTGTCAAACAATATTTTCAATTTTCCATTTATTTAATTTCATTCTTTTATTTTGCATTTGCTATCAATCAGGAAATTTTCAACTCAAAGCTTTTTTACTATGACTGCAAAAGGAGATGAAATATTTACAGAAAGCAATACTATTTTGTGCTAAAAATAACAACTTAATCCTACAAACCTGTTTAAATTTTCCTCTGATTTTTTCCAGATCATCTTGAAGCTTTTCGTAAGTGGGGTCTTCATATGGGAACTTCTGAATCATTCCTATTAATGAATCCAGAGCCCTTATCTTTTTACTGAAAAAAAAAAAAAACCAACAAAAAGTAGTAAATAACAGTAAGCCTCCCAAAGAAGTCTTTTCCATCTGTCAGTATGAAAACTGTACTTTATGACTCAGAGCATAGAATCCAGCCCTCTGTCCTTATCTCACTCAAATTGCCTCATACATATTTAAGGCATCATCAGAAACCAAGCTTGGTACAACTGACAAATGTAAGGCTTTTCTTTTAACTTACTTCCCAAACGCAGACGTCTGGTCAGGAAACACAGAACTACCAATTAGATGTGATAAATGCAATAAGAAAGCTCACCAGAACATGTACTGAGATATGTTCTATGAGATAGCTGAAAGCAAGCTGACATTTTGTTCAAATTAATCAAAACTGGTCAGAAAAAAGCATTAAGTTCTACTAAAGGAAAGTAATAATCAATATTTGGAAGCACATGTATCTGCATGTGTATAGAAAACTAGAGAAAAGTAAGAAAAAGAGAGAGGGGCACCTAGAAGTATAGCAGATGTATTTCTGCTGCAGACAGAAAATAAATTATGCAGAGACCATAAAATATCAGACATGGAAAGAGAGCATTGCTAGCATCACCAAAAAAGTGAACTATCTGTGACACCTAATTCCCTTGCATGTCTAACTGGCTTAGGGAAACAAGCTATGATTAATTACTGATGGTGAATTACAGCTCCCTCAGAAGACAGCCTCAGTGGTTTAACATGAAGGTCTGTCTTGGATGATGGGATGAGTGTATCTGTAAGAACAAACAGTGCTCACTGGGGATATATTGCTTCCACAGTGAGTGTTCAACTCAAGTCCTCGTGAAGTCTGAATAACACTCATGTATGAAACTTTATTCAGTGCCTTCCTTCAGTGCATTCTAATTATTATTCAAGCATGTCAGAAATAATGAAGTTTGTTAACAGCTCAGGAAAACAAATGTGTCCAGTTAAAATTTAAACAAATTAACAGAAATAAAATACTGTGTAAGAATTAAACCATTTATGTAATAATAGTCTGCTGAAAACTAAAATGTAAGCTGTTTAGGTTTTAATGTACTAATGAACTTCATCTATCACTTTACTGTTAAAGCATCCTTTGGAAACTATCGTTTAATTTTCAGACAATGAACTGGGGCCCAAGTTTTTATTCAAGTGGATCTATTTAGGAGTTTCTAACTGCCATGAAGCACATGGATACTGCACTTCACAGAAGAAAATGTTACTGAAACAATAATGCCACCAGTTCTATCAGCTCCTAGAGGACTTCAGATAGTCCAATATATTCTCCCTTTTTTTTTTTTTTCCCAAGGAACACACTCTACTCTGAGTCTTCAGAAAGCTGTTAAATCGAACATAAAGCACACAGGTGATGGGTAGTGATGAGAAAAGATGAATTATAACAGTATTTTCAGGTACCTAAATAACAACAAAAACGCAGTGCAGGAAATCTATATGCTTGATTCTGTGCAGTCTAAGTACTATCGTAACAAAGAAACTATTTTTAAGTGAAAATATTGTGTAGCTTTTAAAATCTCACCCCTGTAACACTCACAGCTTTTAAGTAATTAAAGAAGCTCTGAGATGGGTTTGCAAACCCATCTGTCTGTGGTGGAGTCTGTGGTGCAAGAGCAGTAAGAGTTGCTAGGATTTTGTATGCACGTGTTATTCTCCATACTGAGAACAGAATGGAAGTTGGGAGGGGGGGGGGAAGCAGGTTTTAAGGGATGGCTGGAAGTTATTCAGTCTGCCTTCTGCCTAAAGCACGGCTAACCTTAAAGCCCATTGAGGTTCTTTAGGACCACTTCCAACCAAATTGTGGAAAACCACAAGGACAGGGCTTTTGTCCTCAGCAGGGACAACCTATCCCAGTACTTAAGAGGTCATGGTGGAAAGAACCTTCTCTTTATGCCCAATTAGTACATCAATTGTTTCAACTTGTGAAAAGTGTCTGTTATTCTTCCACTGTGTGCTGCTGCAAGAAATGCATCTCTAGAATTTCCCTTTGTGCAATGCAAGTAGGCATCTCCATCCTCTCTTTTTCAGGCTGACGAAACCAAGTTCCCTTATCCTCTTTTTAGCATCAGATGGTCCAGAGTGCAATGCCATCCCAGACACCATCTATCTGCTCACCCTTCTGTTTTTCAGATTCCTCTTTTTTAAACTGAAGAGTAGGCAAAACTGGGCACCATAACTTGAAACAACTATTAAAGGGATATGACTTATACTTTTAAAACCCTACCTGTTCTTTTCATCTGTACATTTTGGGAGCAGACGCTGCCAGGTCAGTGCAAATCCAAGGTAGCTGCCAATCTGTGAATTTTTAAGAATGTCATGGAGGGAAAAAAAAAACAACACATATTTAATATTTATGTGGTCAGAGAGAAGTAAAGCTTTATATTCTTAAACAAGCCATTGGATATACAAATATATTTCCACATTGAAAGGCTTAGAAAATGGTATGTGTCCTTTGAACCACAAAATTTATGAAACTGATAAGTTATTGCCAAATTCCACTTCAATCTGTGCATGCACCTGCCACTTAAATTTACAAGACACAATTGGACTTGGAAGTTCCTTTAGCCTGCAAACTTCATCAGAATACAGTGGGAACATCTGCAAGCTCTAGTCTTCTGGGAGTTATGTTTGTTAAAATACATGTGGTTAGGAGCTGACATCTCCAGAAATGCTCAAACTTAAAAAAAAGTGAGGCAATTTCATCTGTATGCACCAAAGCTGTTTGGAGACCTCAGGTAAGTGGAGACACCAACAGGTTCACTTCATGCAGCACCAAGTTGCAGTGGTCTGGGGATGCTGGCCTATGGATGCTTTGCAGCAGTCTGCTCTGCATAATTAGTGATGCACTACCACATGGGTGCAGTACCAATCTTCCACTTGAGCCCAAGCACACACTGTATATAATATTACCTCAGGGACATGCTGGAAAACAGGCATATTTTAAATGTAATCTTGTTTTAATTCTTAAGCAAGCAAGCCATTGTCAGATCAGTATTATTCTCCTTAAGACAGACAATAGGCTGACAGTTCAAAGATAACCTATGTCATTCTTTCACTTACTTAGTATGACAGTGAGACTGTAAACAGATAATATTCTGGAACCTCCCAGTATCAGTAGATTAGAGCACTTCTCTTGCAGTCTATATAGGACTATGCTGTATAAAAGTAGTCAGTTTTAGAAGCTGTTTAACTGTCATCTTGGAACCGAACAGCTGTAATGTTGATAGGAAAATAAGCACTGGTCATCTTCGTATCACAGTCAAGTGACAAAGTTTTACAATAGCTATCCTTTGAGAGTTTGCATTAACTGCTTTTGTTTCATATTGGATTAATACCACTGCTGTTGTTCTTTTAGTAGCAATCTTTGAGCCACAAATTCTGCCTGTATTACAAATAGGAAAGAGGGTGACAGAGACAACCAGTACTGTCTGGTTGGGACATAATTTGGGTAAGAAACAACATTCCCTGTTTCTCCCCTACGCTGAGCCACAGAAGATGGTCCAGAGAGCCTTTAGATACAACCTTAGGTTATAAAAGTAAACGTGTACTCCATCACCAACATGTTCCAAGCAAACTTGTTTGTCTCTTGTCCTCTCCTTCAGGGAAATAAAATACAGAACTCTATTTGCAACTGCAGTAGAAATGCTAAGTCATGGCTTGAAGCAGTGATTGAGCACCTGGTGGGAACGCAGGGCCAATCTAGGGGAGCACAGGTGTATGTAGTGCAGCTGAAATGACAAGAAGGGTTGGAGTCAGGATCCACCCCTTCCCAGACCTCATTTAAGGGTTGCTGGTGGAGGTGAGGGTATCTTGCTGGAGCTCCCTGTCTATTTGAGGTAAGCAGATTTCCTTTGTTTTTGTGCCCATGGTAGCTGCATTTGAGCACGTCCTTACTTGTTGCAGCCTGGGACTTCGCTTTCCTGCTACCACTGCTGTGTTTTCCATCACATTATAGAGTTACAGCAACCACCTCAGAAAACACAACTAAAACTGTGTAATGCTGGTGAAGCTTATGACAGCACGTTCAGTTTTAATCTCTGTATTCTACAGAGTAACTGCTGTAGTTTTCTGTGTGCCATCAGCAGCAGCTGCAGACTGCCTGGAAAGCTCCTAGAATGAAGCCTGCAGGGCTCACGCTACCTATACACTGGATTTTGCTCGATGGATTCCTTTGCAAGAACCATTCCGTAAAGGAAAAAAATCAAAAACCCACAACGAACTGCAATTCCTGAGCACGTCTCCTTACCTCAGCGCCGATCTTGGCGCCATGCAGGCCGCCGCACCTCCGCCCCTCAGCAGCCCCCGCCTGGCTGCCCTCGGCGTACCCCTCCTGGTAGCCCTCCCCGTGAAACCTGCAAGGACAGACGGCTATACGCCTTCCTTTCCGTTTCGCGCCGCCATCGCGGCCGGGTTCGGCGCTCCCTCCCTCCCTGCCGCCGGGAGGGCCGCTAGCCATTGCCCCCCGAAAGCTCCCGACCTGTCATCGGCCATCACGATCTCATCAAACATGTCCGAACCCTGGGACGGGGCCGCCATCGCGCCGCCACACAAGGGGCCGGCGCAGCGCTCAGCACGCCGGGAGACGACGGCGAGCCGGAGGGGCCGCCTCGCGGTGCCCCAGTGCGCAGGCGCGTAGCCTCCCGCCTCGCAGCACCTGAGCGCTCGCGCGTGGCGGGCGGCGCTGCGCTCCTCGCAGCAGCCGCCTAACGGGCGCAGCGCCCCGCCGGCCTTGCAGGCAATAGGGGGCGCCAAAGCGCCGTCGGTGCCGCGGCTCTCCGGAGCTGTGCGCCGGGTGCACAGCGGGGCGGGGAGGTCCGGGAGGGGCTGCGTTGTGCAGGGTCTCCGTTCACGTGTCGGCCCGTGGGCTCGCATCTGTTGTCCTGCTCCACTGTCATAAACGCGTTGTGTTCAGTAACCATCTGGTGCAAGTGGAAATAAAGGTGTTTCTGAAGCTACGAGCTACCGCTTTCGTCTTGTTTTGGAAGTTAATGACAAACAAGTGCTTTGATCTCAGTAGGCAGGGGGCTCGATTCATTATGCTGCATACGCAGTAGTATTCTAGCAGGAAAGCTGCCAAACTGCCCTCACGGGTCCTCAACAATCCTGTCACAAATTCACCCCTACTTCAGCATCCAAATGACGCCTGCTCCCCACAGCCGTTCGCATCCCAGGGAAACACAGCTTTACTTCATCGTGTCAGCTGGCACCCGCACGTTTGTGAGGAAGGGAAGTGCATTTATTTAGCTTGCCACGTCTCTGCTCCTGTACAAAGCACAGCTGTCCCAAGTTCTCCACAAACAGTTTCAGTACTTGGAATAGAGATAGCACTGATCCTCCGAGCCTGAATAAAGGTTTTACAGCCCTTCACACCTCCCCAGAGTGGAAATGGAGATGCCCAGTATCTCCTTTTTGTAGCTTTCTCACTACTCGCATTTACACATCATAGCTTCTAACGCGGACTTCACAAGGAGGCATTTGACACCTTACCTTTTAAAACCTTTTAGGGCTGTAAAATGTGCTGCTGCAAATGGAAGGGTGGCAATTGCCCTGTTGCCCTTGGGTTGCAGTGGTCAGCCAGGACCTTTTCACAGCGGTGCCGGTGTTTGCATTCCCACAAAGCTGAGGACAATGGTGTTCCAAGGTTTTCCTGCACAAGTCAGGTGTTTGTTGGCAGGGAAAGCATTTTTACAGTAATCATTCTGCCTCAAGCTGGGATCCTGTCACATTTCATAAGCAAAATGGCTAGGCCTGGTTAGAGCTCAGATGGGAAACCTCCAAGGAAAACTGAAGTGCTCCAGGAAGTGGTGTGGGTAATTTAGCCCCCGGTCTTCTTCTCTCTGCCTGAATAAATATTGAGCCAACCTCTGAACGTGCTGTTACAGTAAGAATCACCGTGCTGCTCATGGAAGATGCAAACCCAAAGGTGTCAGCAGATAGGATGCTATTCCCCAATAGTAGAATGCTCGACTTTGTTTTCTTGACCAGTATTTGTGACAGCAATGTTAAATCTACTTTAAAATCTCTCACCGCTTAACGTGAAGAGTATGCACTCTGAATTTTATCATTTGCAGTGTTTCCATTGAAAACTGTGAGGTTGGTTTTTTTTTTTTTTTTTTTTTTTTGGTGGAAAAGTGAAGTTTTGAACAAATTTTAGAAGTTCATTTTGTGTTCTGGGTTTTGATTTATATAAAGGAGTCTCAAAAGATGTATCTAATGTTCAAAAGATGTATAGTCTGATCAAAAGCAGAAATGAAAAGCTGAAAAACAGGACACCCCAAACCCAAAAACTTTTCAAATAACACAACTTGAAAATCATCATGCATCTCCCAGTGCATGAAGAGTAGGAAGCCTCTGCATTTGTGGCAGTGACTCAACATGAAGGAGAACGTGAAACACCATGGGAGGTGTTTTGCAGCCAAGAACTCTGCAATTCTTGTGAGTCACCCTATAGTATACCTAGAGTGAAATGCTCAGTCTTTCCTTTTCTGCCAGAAATTAACATCTTTTTTAAGCCTAACAGCCATTTTCCCCCCTAGGAGCATTTTTTAGTTGGGTGCCATTTTTAAAAAGGGAGCAACCTTCTACTTAACGTGGTTTTGCTTTTTGCAGGCGGCTCACACGTGGTGCTGAACCTTTCCATAACAAAGCTACCTCTGTCAGTCTTGCAGTTTCACGTGGGGCTCCTCAGGAACAGGCAGCAGGTGGACAAAAGGTCCACCATTGGCACTCACTGCCTGGCTTTGGGAAACTCACTCTGTCTCTGTGTTGCACCTCGACAGTGTCATCTGCACATGGCTGCAGTGGAACCAGACTGCACAGTTCGATAAAGCTCCTTGATGTGTTTGGGCTGAAGAAGTCAGAAAAGAGTCAGCTAGATTTCTGTACCGAAGATGATTTTTTATTGCAAATATACATATTATACTACCAATGAACAGAAATTTAAAAAGCTATTGTTTCCTAGAATTTAATGATTACAAAACTTCACAAAATTTGTTACAACCAAAAAACCCACCTTCAAGAGTATATAAATAGAATTTTGAGCATAAATAACAGTTACAAAATAAACAGAGGTATGTATTTAATAAATTAATTATAAATATTGCATTGGCAATGAAGTGCTAGGTCAGAAGAACACCAGTGTTTCCAGTAGATCTTTTTGTATAGAAATCTCTATTATAAGCGAGCCTTTGGAAATGAGTGGAATCTCTGAATCCTGACATGTGTCTTCTTTTGCTTTCTCTTTGGTTATTCCTTTGTTAAATTGTCACAAGGGGAGAACAGAACTGAAGACATCAGACATATGCTTTCTGGCCCTGAGATTCACATGATCCCTTCCTGCAAGAAGCACAGCATGGCCAGCTCAGTTCTGCAGTGTTTAAGTCACTAAATTGTATCTCCACAGTTTCAACTGATGCAGAATCAAGCCTGGATGGACTTAAAGGAATTGCTGATGGTTACAGGCAAAACACAGAAATGTTCTTTGTAACTGATGTGACCTACACATCATCCATTTTCAGACTTTCTATTTGCTAACAACATACATGAGTATACACAGCAGAACCTATACCTGGACACTACTTTGAACTGCTCGTTCCTACCAGATGAACACAGATGCTAGTTCTGTATGCACTCATACCCACGTGCTGAATTCCCATTAAAATTAACGACAAGTCTTTATGCTGGATGATGCAGATCCCCCAGTGAACATAAATTAACCTATAAAATACACCAAAAATCCAGTTTTCCAACATATCCTTTAGCAATAGGGGAAGGAAGAAATATTTTCCTTTCTTCCCTTCTTTCCTAAGGGAAGAAAAAGCACAATATATAAGCAGAATTGTTTTTCAGTGGTATGCTTTCAACAGAAAGCTTTCCCAGAAGGTTGTCAGCAGCTTTTCAAGAAACAGCACCAACTTTAGTTCACATAACCACACTTGCTCAGTCTTCCTTAACTGTGTTTTGTTCCAAATGTTTGTCTACAAGGCTGTGAACTTCCCTGTGAATGGCAAGATTTCTTGTATATATATATGAGCTGAAACAACAGGTGAACATATGTGGTAATGAATTCAATGTATGAAAACTATGCATTTTATCATCACCACAGTAATGGAAGAACTCTGATGAATTTGTTAAGCTGTTCTTATTTAATTTTTCTTTTCCAAGAATACTATGGAGAGGCAATGCTTTTCAACATGGCATCTGGGCACTTAGCTCTTATAGGTACAACACATTGTACGGGAAAGGCTGTCTGCATACTGAGACACGAAAAAAAGGTTTGAGACATCACTACACAAGAAGCTAAAAACCTGCAACATTCTGTGGTATTTCTTTAAAACCGAGTGTGCAGTCAGAATCATTTCTGAAAGCTGGGGCTCTTCACTGGAGACAGTTTGGAAGTGATCCCAAAGGGATCCATGCTGTCCGTTTCAAGAGGTGATGAGTAGACCTCTGGCTCAAAAGCCTGGCTGTAATCACCATATTCACCAAAGTCTGTCACCTCCACTGGCACAGTGTTGATCATGGGTAAGAAGTGAGACAGTGGGAGAAAATCTTTTCCTTTGAATTGTTGTCTTTGTTTGGCACTGCTCAAAGACACTGATATTCCGTATTTCTTTGATTTATACACATTATAGCCATCTGGACGAATCTCCTCTTCAAAGGAACAGTCCTCAATGGAATAGCTGAGCTGAACAGAAAGGAGTAAAACCAGTTACAAACACACCCACCAGATTCACTCCATTCAGTTAAGATCTTGTGAAGAAGAATGCATGAATTTGTAAAAGTACATTTGTGACATACTGCAGAGACATTCTTATGTTAGGATCTAGGATCACCATTCAGACCTTCCCACACGCACTGTATTTGGCACAGTGCTGGTGTTGCTTCAGGCTCAGTCACTGCAGGTGATTGAACTCCTGGTCAGCAAAAGGCAATTGCTGATGATGCCTCAGTCTTTAGTGATAAGTAAATTAATATAGACTGTATTTGCTACTTTTCATTCTTTTCTCATGTGCCATCGAGAATACGGAGTACAATTAAGTACAAGCATCTGAGTATCGTTTAAAAGCTCTCGTTAAACTGATTAGGTAATAAAAAAAAGGACATTTTTTTCCAAAATAAATTATGTAGTATTTTTCCTTCCATACACAATATGTATCTCAGAAAGATACCAATCTGTGATGCACAATTATGGCTGAATTGTCAGCTGTCCTTATTGCTATGAACAATCAGCCTCTCTTTGGAGGATGATGATATCAGCAAGCTTCTTGAGCAAGTGCACTCTACAAACCACATTGGTTGTTGATGGCACCCCTATGCCTCCACCAGATTGCTCCCTGCTCACTTCAGTGGGATTGTCTCTAGAATAGTTTTTAATACATTTCAAATGCACTTTAAGTATTTCCAGATCAATTTTTTTTTCCACAGGAGAAATTTACAACACGTCAGTAGATGAAGCAGTTAAAGATTTCTGCTAAACTACAGAAATTCTCAGGGCAGTCTGTGCAGCACACTGCCTGCTCAGAATCAACCTTAGCCATTCCTGTGTCCCATGTTAAGAAGGAACACATTACAGGAGGGCTGAATTTGGGCCTCAGACATTGCAAC